ACGAAGAGGATCCTATATCATGGCTGCGTGCGTGTCTAAGGCAGGAAGTGAACAGATCATGGCTGTGTGAAAAAGATGAATGGAGATCATGGCTGTGTGAAACAGAACCAACCAAGTGAACATTGTGTGTGTAAAGGAGTTCCATGTTTTAGTACTCATGAACTTGAACATGTTATCTAGTCACATTTGTTTTGAAAGAATTCTAGTATATATATAAAGCACTTGGGAAATGTTTTGTTGATTTTTAAGAATATCATATGTTTATGCATCTAGAATTGGGGTTGAAACGAATTTTTGATCGTTAAACGCCCGCTCCTGTAAAATTCTTGAAAATGATACCAGTAGGGCTGTAAACAAACCGAACGTTCAGCAAACCGTTCGGCGAGAAGTTCGTTTATTTAATAAATAAACGAACATGAACAATTTTTTTTGTTCGTTTAGTTAAACGAACGAACATGAACAAGAGTCTCGTTCGTTCATTTATGTTCGTGAACGTTCATTCATTTATTGTTCGTTTATATTCGTTCGTTTATGTTCGTTTATATATTAAATTTAATATACAATCTTTTATTTATTTACTTTGAATTCAAATAATATTTATTTATGTTCGTTTAGTCCGTTCGTTTATGTTCGTTTAGCTTGTTTGTTTAACATGTTAACGAACGAACATAAACGAACACGAACACACCTGATTTTTAAACGAACGAACACGAATACAAAGATTTTCGTTCGTTTACCGTTCGTGTTAGTTCGTTTGTGCAGTCAAGTTAAACGAACGAACATGAACAAGCCTCTGTTCGTGTTCGTTCGGTTCGTTTACAACCTTAGATACCATTACCAGATAATAAATGGCTCAAGTAAACATGCCAACAGGAATATGTATATTTCGAATAATGTTTGGTTAGCCTTTTGAGATTGAGGCACATTTGGTCCATCTCCACCTATAAATGTGTGTATATAAATCAGATCACATAGAAAGGAATCCGGCTTCGTCTACTTTCTTCGTCTTCTCGTATACGGTCCTCAATGTGTCGATTATTGCAGGTTGTATTCTTGGCCAAAATGTGAAATATTTTGACACCCATATCAAACGATATACAACTCGACACCCGAAAGCCCTCCATGACCAAGTATGGTAGTTAAGGTAATCGTAACAGGCTAAATTAGGCTCGAAAATGATGAAGTTAGAACGTATGGGAAGTTGCGTGGCCCACGTTGGCATGCCAACTCGTGAATATCCCTCACTATGTCAAAAACCGCCTCTGGTTGAGCAAGTTTAAGTGCATTTTCCGCCATTCTTTTGTGCTCGTCCGCATTGGTACTGAACCATCCGGCCACTATCCTAGCTGTCTCCTTTGAGCTTCGGGTGAAAACACCGGCCCCATTATTCACCACATAAGGTACGTTTCCTTTCTCCTGTTAATCCGTCATTCAAAATACAAGAATACACGTTACTAGTCGTTAAGTAGAAATTACTAATATACCCTCATGTCCCAAGCGAAGTTCTTTTTAACAACCATGGGTGCTCATTTAATCTCATTGGAGCCCTTAAGATAACAGTCACGAAAATCCTCAGTGGTCCTGAGGAGACTCGAACCGGCAAGCCTAACCTTGATATACCAGTTGAGCTGGCCCTCACAATTAGCGAAGTTCAAACTCCCGAAAACGGGTGTTAGTTATTGAGCAAGCGTACTAACTAAAAGACTAAAATATGATTAATGATCATGTAATTGCATACTTGTCCTGGAATATAGTCGTTGAGGATCAACGGAAGCCCTTTGATCAATGCCTCCGCAATTGTACCAGGTCCCGCCTATAAATCCGAGGAAAAATCCATTAGAGTCTAGAGATAATGCTCAAGATTTCTAGTAAAATTCTAGCCGTTTCCTCATAAACCAGAAGAAATTCTAGCCGTTACAAAAGAGATTCCAGTCATTTTCTCATTTAACAGAAAACATTCTAATCGTTTCTTGTAAGCAAGAAGAGATTCTTGTCGTTTTATCATCAAACAAAGTAGATTTTAGTAAGTTTCTCATCAAAGAGAAGGTATTCTAGACGTTTCTAGAGAAACAGGAAAGATTCTAGTAGTTTTTCCCGTAACGTATTCCCCAAATTTCAACCTTTAGAACCACAAAATCATGAACTGATAATGGGTTCTATTAATTTCTGTATAACAAGAAACACATAAGCGCGAATCGTACTTTGGTTATAATGCAGTCACAAGCACCCATCCATTTCTGCATCTCCTTCTCAAATCCTCTAACCTGCAACAACAATGCAAACAAAAACCTATGAATAAATACCGAAAAGAGTGTTATTTTGATTTCTGGTGGAAATTTGATTACCTTAACAGGGATCTTCCACTCTAATGATTCAAGAGACGATGCCAAAGCTTTGTTTCGACCACATATTATAACCATTTGGCCAAATGGTTTTCCGGTTTCTTTATCAAATAAAGATTCACCAAGAGCCATCGCGGTCTTTTTCACAGGGCCCATACCTTCACCACCTCCCATCAGTAAGACCGCCGGTAGTTTCGGATCCAATTCCAACTCTACCCTCAACTCATCCTATAGCAAGTATGAAACAAAAACAAATTTAAGCCAAGATAAATGTAAACTACATAAGACTGAAGATGTTAGAAACCAAAAACAGTCCGGGCTATTTAGCTCAATGACCTTCTCCAGAAGCTCGTTTTGCAAAATGACCCACTAAGTTTTTACAGGAGCAGACTGTTTTGAACCAGGGGCCAGGTCAGATGAAGGTTAATGAGGGAAGAAAAATTAGAATGTCGGGCTCCAAAATGAAAACTCACTTAAAAGGACCCTTAAAAATCTATATTGCAAGATGGGAAAAAAAGGAAGAAGGTGTAACCTTGTTGAGGACAGCACGGGTAAAAGTGGGTCGAATAGGCAAACCAAACACTCGCAATTGACTTTCTTCTAGGCCATCTAGCAAAGCTCGCTTTGCTACCTCTTTTGAAGGGCAATAGCATCGGTCGACCCCAGGATGAAACCTGGTTACAAATATAGAAAAAGCTCAAACTTGTCACATCAAGATTCAATTTTTTTAGATTTGTTGTATAGTTTTGTGGATGAGTCTAAATCGGACTTTTACCATGTGCGATGGCATGTATTAAGATCTGTAATAACTGTCACAAAGATAACTTTCTTGTCTAAGCCTTGCCATTTGAGAACCCACAAAGGAATGTGTTGCATAAGAGGATGAACACTGATGATGATGTCTGGCTTGTACTCCATTAAACCAGCTTCAACCTCCCTTCAATTCAAGTTTTTGCCCAAAAGGATTAGAAAAACGACCGCGAAATAAAAGCTAAAGAAACCATAAGTTGAAACCCTTTTCACCTCTTTGTGCCAAACAATCATTCAGAAAGGAAACAAATGATTAAACAACCAACCAACTAAAGAATCATTAAAAACATATGAACAATCATCAGTTTTGGCCAAATTGAAGTTTTTCTCTTGTTTGGTACTTATGATTGTCAGGCCCATGGCGCTCTGAAGATAACAGCAAGGAAAATCCCCATTGGCTGATCTAGACACTGTGGTGACCTATAGCCTTTATTTGTCATTGGAGCTGACCTCAGATTTAGCTAAAATTGAACTTGCAGAAGGGTAAAAAAAGGAACAAAAAACCATAAGTTGAAGCCATTTCAACTCATGGTGCCAAAGAATCATTTAGAAAGGGAAAATGTTGGAAAACAATACTCAACTAGTTAAACTACCATTAGGCAACAAGTAAAGGAAATGGGTTTTCGGTAATTACGTGTTCACCTCTTGCGGAATGAAAAAGGGAAAAACAACAATCAACTAGCTAAAATATTATCACAAACATAAAAACCATCATGGGTTTCGGCTAAATTGAAGTGGCGAAAGGGTAAAAGGAGAATAAAAGTATACTTGGCGTAGAAGGCGGCAAAGGCAGCAAGATAAACGTTGTGTATCCAACGAGGAGAAGTTCCATGAAACGCAACGTTCCATAGCTGGACATGTTTAACCATGAACTTGTATTGATTTTCCATGTCGTTTAACGGCCAACCCGTGTATTCTTTCCAAACATCCTTGATAAATATCTATAAAAAAAAAACAAGTGAGTTGAGATTCAAAACCAAGACATATCAATGAGTTCTTGAACTCATTATTTCAATTCCAGATTCACATAAATTTGACATGGGAGAAAAGGGTAATTAAGTCAATTCATATAAACTTCCATTCAGAGATTCTTGTTTTGTGGTATATTTCTCAAGAACATTTTGGTCATTAATCAGGGAAGAGCTCTATGAACAGAAAACCTTAAAAGGGTTGATGATCAAAGACCCAAACTCTAAAATTTGCAGCAAATTAAAGGTTATGAATTCGAATTCCACAATGGTTTACTAATCTTTCTGAAAACAATTTCATATATTCTTGTTTCTTGGTTCCAAAAATGTTCTAAAAAGAACAAGAAAATGGGAATTTGCGAATACCACATGATCCTTATACAAATTTCAACTCCAATTACGTAAAATTGTGAATAAGATGAAACTATACCCTGTATCGGTCGCCAAATTCAATCTTGAAAGCGTCACGGATGGCCTCGGCGGAAGCACGGTGGCCACCACCGGTATCACTCATCAAAATAAGCACATTTCTTGTTCTTCCAGCACCAAGCTCCACCATTTCCATGGTGGGAGATTCATCCTCATCATCGTTATACATCAACCTCTTCTGGCTGCTGCTGCTCCCACCACCACCAAAACCACACATCCCGATGCTGTCAAACACCGTCTTTAGCGGATTGCTCGATGACACCGGCGTCGAAACCATTTCTCTCACCACGTAGATACATACAACAATATCTATATATATATATATAGGGTATGTATGTATGTATGTATGTATGTATGTATGTATGTATGTATGTATGTATGTATGTATGTATTTATAGAAAAAGAATGAATATGTTTTGAAATGAAATCAAGAAATATTGATGATTGAATTAACGAATGGAAATTCTTGTTCAAAAAAGACGCAACAGAGACATGAAATGTAGATTAGTTTGAAAGGGAAAAATGGGTTTGTTTAACATAGCCATTAAGAAATCACCACCAACTCACTTTTTTCAGGTCCTTAAATCGACCGAAGCCACCTGAAACCCACCGGAAAAATGGGTTTCTCCGGCCAAGAGCGGTGGCAAGGGATGAGAGAGAGCGACAAAGAAATGAAGTTGGTTTTTCCTGTTAAAATGAAAAAGATGGTATGTAAGACTTGTTTATGGATATGGCTACGATCTTTATAACGTTTCTTTGTGGCAGATTTCAGAAGAAATCGGCCATAACGGCCCTACGATTTGTGTTTTGCTCTAATGCTTTTGGTATATATTTTATATACTTTTTGTATTTAATTTAATATTATTAATTATTTAATTAAATATTTATCTTAAATCAATTTAATAGAAAAAAAATTAATTGATGCAATTGATTAGATATAAAAATCTTGAATATGACATTTAATATTTAATTTTTATTGCATCAAATAATTTTTTCTATTAAATTATTTTTTTGCATTAGTAAAAAATAATTTTTATTGTGTTAATTTGGATTTTTTTTAAAATGTTTAATTTGATATCTGAATTAAAAAAAATTGAAATGAAAAATATATTTTATTGCATTAATTTTTGGAAAAAAACGAATTTTAGTTATTTTTCTATAATTATTTTACAAGTTGGTTTCCCAAAATAGGAATCAGGTGCAAGTTGGTTCCCCAAAATAGGAATCAGGTGCAAGTTGGTTCCCCAAAATAACGATTTTGAAAGTTGGTTCCCCAAAATAGGAATCAGGTGCAAGTTGGTTCCCCAAAATAGGAATCAGGCGCAAGTTGGTTCCCCAAAATGACGATTTTGAAAATTGGTTCCCCAAAATAAGAATTAGGTGAAAGTTGGTTCCATTTTGGTGTAATTTTCCCTTAAACCAAATATAAATTACTTTGTTATTAAACTTAAATTAAATTATAATAAAAATTTGAATTAAAAAATTACACAAAAAATAGAAATTTTAAATAGTTAATTTGATACTAATGTCGATATATTTTTGTCAAATTGTTATGATATTTTTAAATTTATATTTTATTCAAAATTAAAAACATCATATTTTCAAAATCACATAAGACCATGCTATAACATCGATTGAGAGAATAAAATGAAATTTAAAATCAAGATGTATCTCGCTGCATTGTGCGAACATCCTTCTAGTGTGTGTATATACATATATATATATATCAGTTTTAAACTATATATTCTTAAATAATTGTTTTTCAAAATATACTTTGAAATAACAATCAAATAAAAATCCATTATTTTAAATATAATATACCTTATAAGATATATCATATATATGGAACTTCATACCTAATTACTATACAATTATACTCAAAACCACATGTCTAATGGATTTCTATCTCTTTAAGTCCTTGCCTTAAGTGTTTCTTGTTGCCATAAATCATGTGATGTATGTGCCATTTCTACCCAAATTCATCATCTCATTCTCCCATCATTTTTCCAAATTTTGGATGCTTTCTCTTTATAACATCTTAAAAAAGAGGATTCTGTTATATATTACTGACTTTTTTGCTTCGAAAATCAAACTTATGCATTACTCAGTACTGCCAGTTACCATGATAATTTTAGTAATTTACGTGTTTACAGGTCGAAGTTGTTTGATATCTTATAGTTCAAAGGCATTCATAACGAATTGTAATATGACGTTTCAGTACTCTTGTGCTCAATTATAAAACAGTGTGTTTTTTATTTGATAAATTAATGTAGTTTGGTAATTTTTTGTCCAAATTCTTTTTTTTTTATTAACCTGAATATTCAACCCGCTATGCGATCCAACTAATTCCAGGGCAACCACCTGCTTTGCAGATAGTCCGGAGTCACCGCATTTGAACCTCCGTGGCCACAAAGGGATTTTTATTCCTTATTGGATTTGAACCTGGGAGCTCCATATACTTTTGACCTTTGAAGTCAAACTCAAACCAATCAGGCACCAACCTTATGGTTTTTTTGTCCAAATTCTTTCAGTTGTATGTAAAACGTTTGTGTTTTTACAGTACGTTAATATAATAACTTCTTTATAAGAAACATTCAAATATATCATTGAAATGTAATGTACTATGTTTAAAAAAAAAGTACCACAAACGGAATTATATATTTCAAAGCTAAATGTCAAGCAGAAAATGTAATGTACTATGTTTCATATGTGAAACGTTCAAGACTGTTTTATGTGTTGAAAACAATAGTCATGAATGTTTCACATATTAAATTATTCTTACATGTGTTTTGTCACATATAAAACAACATATGAAAATTGATTTGCAAATCCGTACGAGTTATTGAGTTTATAAAAACAGTATATATAGAGACTTAATCAATCAAGAACTCTGTAATTTGTGATAATGTATCCGTATTTTTGTTAGATGCAATTACGGGTTAATCAAACTGCATGTGAGGTATAAATGTTGAGTTACTGGGTATACACTGTGTTTATTTGCCTTGGATAGTTTCGGTGTCAAAAGGATAACGAAAACGATAATTTCCAGGCATCAAAGGGTCCCATTTATAAGCATTTAGTAAAATATGTGAGGTTATCCCATTTATAAGCATGTGTAAAAGTTTAAATTGAAACAAGTAGCATGTGAATTTTATAACGTCACGTACATGCAATACATATATACCATATAACACGTACAAGCAAGCCCATATAGCACATTCCACAATTAATGCATAAATAGTCTGTACATAGTATCTACCACAGTGTAAGTCTCAAGAAAAATTACCTGAATGGCTCCACTAGCTAAACCTCGTTCCTAAGTAATATCATGTAACACATAATTACATTTATTTAATTAGTGTCTTGACTTTTCCCAATAAGTCAAACGGGTCAATCCATGGTCAACCCTAGGGTTGGCATGGTGAACGAGTTAAACCCAAGCATATTTTGGCAACATGTACTCGTTGTTCATTATTTAACGTCCAAAAATAAATTTCGACATCAAACCAGATTTATAATTATATACGTCTTTCGTTTTAAAAATATCCAATCCCACATTTACCCAATCACAATTCCCTAAACGGATTATTTAATTATTTAATATCCCCTCTTTTCTTAAAAAATAAATAAGAGATTCATATAATTAATTAGATATTATGTAATTAGTATTGAATTTCTAAATAATAAATTCCGAAAATATGATAACCCAATTAATTAATACCTTTTTTAATTTGATCCTCAAATCTTGACCAACTTAATTGAAACATCCCGATTTTTTTATTTTAATTAATCCAAATAAATAAATGAGACCCAAATCTATTTTGATAAACATCGGTTTAACCAAAACGACTTAAGTCCAACTGAACCCAACCCAAGCCAAGTCAGCCACGGCCCAACGCCTAGGTCTTGTGCACTAGCCTACTTAACTTGACATCCGGCCCAACCCGATCGCACTTCGATCTCCCATTAGGGGTTGCTTCTCGACCGTAAAAAGAATTCAGAAGTTTATAAATAATACTAAGCCCAACCCATATCTAAATTTATAATCATTATGGTCCGTTATTAAATTTGTTTTCAAGTTGTTTGTACTCGAATCCCATCAAGCCAACCCATATCTAAATGATAACAGATTATCATTTTACCTTTTCTACTTTGATAAATTAAAATATTTATGCATTCATATTTAGACGAATGATCGTGTGAGAATAATAGTTAATGTGAGAAGCGTAAGAAATGATCTGGACCCTCGATCACTTTTAATCTCACTCCCACCTTATGAATTACGCTTATCACGGAAATTGATGCGAGAAGCGCAATATTAATGTTGATCTTCAATTAAGATTGATGCAAAGGTGGATATCATTTTTCTTATATTTCTCATCATAGCTTTCATTTTCAACGGAACCCAACCCTTCATATTTAATAGCACTTGTTCGGATTTAAATACCGTTTTACAATCTCAAGTAACAGTTAGGTACATTTACATAACACGTTTAAATACCATGAAAAACCGTTAGACTTCCTTCCTCTCTCTACTTCATGTCTTTCTCGTCTACTTCGTATCCTCCAAAGGCCAAAAACCGGTCCCGGGCCGGGCCGGGCCTGTCCCAATCAGTCCTAACCTTTCTTATAACCGGCCATAACCGGTCCCGATCTTGCTCGAAAATGATAGGACCGGTCAAGATACTTCATAACCGGTTATGGGCCACCGGTCCCAACCGGTCCTTGCATTAAAAAATAAGATTTTTTTTTATTTTTTTAATGATATATATTTTTAATATTATAAAATTTACAATTGGATCACTCAAATACACTTTAAAAATGCGTTTTAATATAATTAAAATTATATTTTCTTATAAAAATACATTATAAAATTATTTAAAAATACATTTATTTATAAAATTATTTGAATTTTCGGGCTGGGTTGGGCCGGTCCATAGTCGGTTCCGTAATCGGTCCCGGTCCCACAAAACTACCAAAAACCTCAATCGGTTCCGGTTTTCGGTCCCATAACCGGTCCTTACCGGTCCAGGGCCAGGCCGGGCCGGGCCGATTTGGCCATCTCTACTCCAAAGCAAAGGTGAAGCATCAATAATAATGGAGGACGTTGTTGTTGTCTGATTCCACATTACCGTTGTTGTTCAGCTTCAAGAGACGACTGCTATTCTGTAATAACTGTTTTGGTGGATTTTTAGTTAGTTTAAATGTTGAGAGGTGTGTTTGAAAAATTGTTTTAAA